TGGAGAATTTAGCAGAAACATTAATAGAAACAAGAGACTTTGGTCTGGCTACAACTTGGCTGATTTTACCCTATTTTAAAGTTGGTATAATTTGGTACCCACAAGAGCTCAAAACAGAATGAATGCCAAAATGGAGAGAAGAGAATTAGGAAAACTATCCATCAAGGATCAGAGAAAGTTCTTAGATGATAGCCTTTGAGTTTCTGAAATTTGAGTTACCATGCAAAACCTTGGAGGTTTGAGAATAGGCGTGAGAACCAGAGTTACTTCGGTTACCGGGAAGATGCACAAGAGCGAGTTTTTGGAGAATATTTATTCTAGTTCTTAACAATTAGGCATGACAAATTAGAGTTTAACGGTTTTGATTCGCGAGAATAATCTGGTCTCGGAGATAAAAATAAGAAATAAAACCTTAACAACAGAAAGAAGTATCAGAAAAAATATCCAGTCCCACGCCTTGTTTGGAATAAATTATTAGTTTTGATATATGGAGGAATAATTTCGTTATTCAATCTCAACATCATCATTATAGGAAATGGTGAAAAATGTGGACTTTCTCACTTTTGGGACGTTCCTTTGGCTCATCTCCGAAGATTTGAACGTGACAGAAGAGGCCTGTTTTCCCAATTCAAACACCCCCATTTCAAAAAGGAGTTTTTGTGCCAAATACTTTTCAAAGCTGGAAGAAACATCGAAATTTCTGGATCAGCACTCGGGTGTCAAAAACGCGGTTTTCTTTTTGCAAGAACCCATGAGTCTCGAATGGGGCAATTTGAAATTAATCACTGATTTTTGGACCATTCTGAACAGAAGCGTAAAAGTGGTGGAAAAGTATGGAAGGATTATTTTCTGGACCTGTCCTCATGTTTATGCAGCCCAGTTGATAAAGCGTTTCGACCAAAAGGAAGTATTTTTAGATCCTTCCCATGTGCTAGGCAAATACTACGATGAAGAATTGAACACGTTGCTGAAGTTCATGTGCAATGGAGTCAACAAGAACTTGGACAGTGCTCATTGTTGTTACAAAGAACGCGTGTGAAAATTTATAATTGCAGCATGTTTTTTCGCGATTTATGATTCGAATTGCACTTTTTGCGTCAAATAATGTATGAAAAATTGTCAAAAATGATTTCCGTTGAAGAAAGTCACGATTCAGGAATCCTCAACTCTTGGAGGGTTTTCGTCTCAATTTTATTATTTGAAGAGACTCATTTTGGAAAAAAAAGTCTTTGAAGAGCCGGTTGTTGTCAACGATTTTTGCTCATAAAGTGATGAAACTTTGGAATCCACACCATACTGCATTGTAGTGTACAGCAGAAGTATCCACTACAATGCACGTTAGGTACCCGCGTGAGCTGGTGGTGGTGGTGGTGGTGGTGGTGGTTGTGTACCACACCCTTTTTCACTCTTCCCACCCTGTGGTTCACAAAATATTCTGCACCTGGTGCAGGAAATTTTGAGATGCCAGCAGTCGCCCTTTGGACTCGGCGAATTCCAGTCGCTGAAATTTAAACCGAGTTATTTCGGAATTTTTTCACGTTTTTTTTTCGTTTCTTATTCAATGCTTGCAAGTTGCAAATATCACAGTGACTGATGACGAGTGACGCGAATTTTCAGGCAGGGTTTATTCACTGACTTTTATCGGAAATGAATCAATAAGTGGGTCATTAGGACAGTGCTCATTGTTGTTACAAAGAACGCGTGTGAAAAATCTTAATTGCAGCATGTTTTTTCGCGATTTATGATTCGAATTGCACTTTTTGCGTCAAATAATGTATGAAAAATTGTCAAAAATGAATTTCCGTTGAAGAAAGTCACGATTCAGGAATCCTCAACTCTTAGAGGGTTTTCGTCTCAATTTTATTATTTGAAGAGACTCATTTTGAAAAAAAAAAAAGTCTTTGAAAAGCCGGTTGTTGTCAACGATTTTTGCTCAGAATGTGATGAAACTTTGGAATCCACACCATACTGCATTGTAGTGTACAGCAGAAGTATCCACTACAATGCACGTTAGGTACCCGCGTGAGCTGGTGGTGGTGGTGGTGGTGGTGGTTGTGTACCACACCCTTTTTCACTCTTCCCACCCTATGTGGTTCACAAAATATTCTGCACCTGGTGCGGGAAAAAATGAGCTGCCAGCAGTCGCCCTTTGGACTCGGCGAATTCCAGTCGCTGAAATTTAAACCGAGTTATTTCGGAATTTTTTCACGTATTTTTTCGTTTCTTATTCAATGCTTGCAAGTTGCAAATATCACAGTGACTGATGACGAGTGACGCGAATTTTCAGGCAGGGTTTATTCACTGACTTTTATCGGAAATGAATCAATAAGTGGGTCATTCAAGTGATGGAATTTCTGTTTCCATATTTTCAATCATTATTTTTTTATTCACGTGACATTATTTTGCTTGATTCTTCTTTTCGAAATGTCTGAGCCGGTTGTTTTTTTTTTTCAATTCTTGGGGGTATTTTTTTACCATATTACCTGCTGTCAGTTAATGAGCAGGGCCCATTTTTTCATATTTATTCATTCGTTTATTCATTATTTTATAATCCCTGATTCAATTTTTAAAACAATCAATTTTCATTAAATTTTTGGCCGAGTTGTTGGTGAGTTAATTCTTCATTGTTCGTGTTGACAAATTCTGGTCGAAAACGTGCAAATTGTTTCGTTTCAAAAAATCATCGGAGGAACCTTTTATCAATATTGAATTTATTTTTAAAATCAAAATTGTGTGGAATTCTTGAAACGTCTTGCAGAATATTTGAATAGAGGAAAATGTAGTTAACTCATCTCATGAATTGATCACATCTGGGCAAAGATTAAATTATTGAAAAATATAGAAAAGTATCAATTCGTCAAACATTCGCGGGCTAGACTTTCTATATATTCTATATATTCATAGCTCGAGTTGAGAAAAAATTCTTGAAACTGATTCGATCGATTCACCTATTTTCATAAGCCATTAAAACACTTGAACGTTGATCTTGATTCAAGTATAAATCTTCAACATGGAAGTTCCAATTTATTCGCAAATACTCCAGAATAAAACCTACAATCAATCAAAATGTTTGACTTGACGAAACAGTTTTACAATTATTTTCCGGGGGATCCGCATTTTTAAACAAATATTTATGCATGAAAAGTTTCGTATTCAAGCGTAAAAACTCGAAAAGTACATTTTCAAAAAGGTGTTCCAATTTTCAATTAATGGAAAATGTAATAAAAAAAATTCGTGAATGGATTGAATTTTGAGCACCTGAAATTGATAAATTTGATTAATTTTTCACTTATGTTCGCTACAATTTTAATCTTCTCATAATCTGATTCAAATAAATTTTCAAGCACTTGATTATTTCCAATTCGTTCACATATTGAAATTTTTCAATATGAAATTTTTCGTTCAATTTTTGAAATTATACTCCAGGAAACAACCTACAAGTAATGGATAAAGTTTTTGAAAGCATATTTATCTTTTTTACCTTTTTTCTCTGGGATCTCTATATTTGTAAAAATTGTAATAAATCATCCATATATCCGCAAAATGAAAAGCAAAAAAAAACACAGGAAAGATGTTTCCCTTTTATTCCTGATGCATCAGCAATTAGAATTCCACAGACACCTGGTTTGTATCTAATAAAGGATGGTTGGATTAATTGCGTCGGAGATAATTAATGAAGAGGACAGCAAGTGTATACTGTATAACACTATGTGCTGTATATACATAGGCGAGTGAAGAAAAAAGAGGGAGTGCTTTTAGGGGGGGAAGGGAGGGTTGCGCGGAAGCAGGCGTTCCGCATCAGCGCCCTCTACCTGTCACCGCCCTCCATCCATGTGGGAACTTGACCTCTCTGCACCTGTCCTTCCTTCCTTCCTTCCTGTCATGGAAGCACAGTTCAACTACACTCCAATCACAGCACGTTCATTCAAAAAGCGAATAAATAAAATAAAAACGCAGGAAATTATATATTGAAACATATATATAATGAAATATATACAGTACAGTACAGTACTCTTTGCACAAAAAAAAGTTATAAATTCAATATTGTAAGTGATTTTTGTTGCACCGTTTTTTTTTTTATTAAAATGGGTCTTCAAGAGCCCACATGGCCAACTTTTGGTGCAGTTGATGAACCTCTTTGTTTGGTTTTTGTCAGAAAACTCAGAACTAGCAATAAAATCATGATATTTTTCAGTTTTGTGACATGAAAGCCCACATTTTTCAATATTATTCCTTTGCTGATCCAGTAATTTTTTTTTACTGTTTATTTTTGGCAATAATTATCAAATAAAAATAAGTGGAGGGCTGTCATTTTTCAAATGGTCATCAGTTATAGACTCTCTTTACATATAAAGAGAAAATCAGGGGACCAGAAAAAAGTCATTGTGCAGAAAATTGCATTGCAGAAAGAGCATATATATACCTGTATTACAACTGAGTTCTGCAACATATTAGCTGAGACTGTAAGAACATTTCAAACTTCAGGAGGGGAGATCTTAAATGTCAAAAGATTTTGCATGAGTTCATGGAGTTGTGAAAGGCAGGTTTTTTTATTTAATATATTTATAATCCCATATATTTTAGATATGTAGAAAATACAAAAGCCAATATTGTGGTGAAAAATGTATCTTGCTTTCGTTCACTAGCTGTGTATCATTAAATAAATAGTCTCTGATTTCAGGCAATATTTGAACCTTAGAATTTCGATTTTGAAATTTACACTATGTTTTGCTTTTTTAAATATGTGTACTGTCTTTGAATTGTTTCAATTCTTGCCTGGTAACATTTTCCAAAAATTGTAATGGCAAGTTTGGAATTCCAAGGGCATTCTTGAGTTTTTTGTAAAAATTCCAGCAAATTTGTCAACCTTTATGAAGCAATGGTCTTTATTAAATAGAAAAATAATGACTTTAATGTATTTCTTGATGATGACTGTGAATGCCAAATTTTCTGCGGATGTTTTGAATGTATCAGTATTGACTAAACATGTGTGCTTTTTTAGATTTCAGAAAGCAGGCAGATGTGCAAGTTTCACAAAAATGTGGTGGAGACAAAAGGCATATTTCTTCAGGAAGAATATAAAATACTGAAGTAAAATAGGTTGGGATAAATCCCAAAACCATGAGGTGGCTCAATATCCAGGTTTTCCTTCTTCAAGCACGTGAGTGTATAGTTTTTCTTTTTCTAATTTAATAATAAATTCTGACAATTTTCCATTTATTGTCAACTTCATCATAAAGTTGCTCAAGTGGATTTTGGCGAAGCCAATTGCTCTTTTCCAAGAGTAATCCTAGGCCTTTATGACACCCAAGAACCCAATAGTGTTCAAACTGGCACTTTGGAATACACTGAATTCTCAGTGAACTCAAACTCAATGTCAAATTTTGGCTCATGTGTGGAAAAACTGGGGTCCAACTTCATCCTACTCCAGCAACCGTGAGTTGAACTTCTGTCCTCATACAAAACCAAGTGATTAAATAGCTATAATTTATCATTTTCAAAAACCCCCCAGGGGAAATTGCTTCAGATGTGTGAGAATAGAATTCAGGACCAAGAACATTGTGCAGCTCTACACCAAAATATCCCAGGACTCGAGTTTCAATGTCCCATGTTTCCAGGACAAGGAATCTGCCAAGAATGCCTGTCCATCTTCATCTGACTCTCCTCAGACTTTTGAGGAAATTACTCTCTACAGTGAGTATCCCAATGCTGTACATACTGCTTCAGATGACATTATTGGATAGAGACATTTTTGAAAATGTGGGACTCAAATTCATCAGAGTACACTGCAGAAGGGTGATTGGTTTCAGGGTGTGGCCTTGCAATCACCACAAAGATCCGTTTGAAATCCAGGGTGTGGCCCAGAGTTGCATGCAAGCTTCCAACCAGTTTATTGCACTATATCCATGGAATTAAGGGAGGGGGGAAGAGTGGATTTCCCTTCCACAGGTGCACTGTTTTAAGCTAGTGCATGTGTGTGTGTGTGTGTGTGTGTGTTCTGGCATCATGTATTATTTACAAGGGATGTTCCAAAAGTTTTGTCAATAATAACCTAAAAGGAACCCTTTTTTGGACACCCACACTTCATGAGCTTGAAGAGTCCTCAAAAATGAAGCCATGTTCCAGGGATTATAGGCAGTAATGAAATAAGTTTAGAAAATAAATTCAAATTGAGTTGTTTCTATATATGCCAACATTCATGGATCAAGGGGTTTCTAAAAAGCCACCAATTTTCAGAGATTACAGGGTAACAAGTGAATGCAATTTCAATAGATTAGCCAATAAATTCAATGATGAATCAAAATATTTTTTTCAATTCTGGAAGGACTGCTCATTTATTATTGATATTTATTGACAGAATAACAATTCTGGATGAGCAAAAATTAAAACAATGGTCATGCAGGAAATGATGAAAGATTACTCTTACAAAATGAAGGACAAAACTTATGAACTAGCCCTTGTGCTCTTAATTCTAGTTCATTCCACATATTTCAGGGAAAACAGGCTTCACCAATGAGGGCCAGGAGTCAGCAGTGGAGAAAACCTTTTGTCCCATTGCTGGCCAGTTTGAGTTTGTGTACAGGAACACAAGGTTGCCAACCACTGGGATACTTCCAAGAGTAGAAGCCTGTGACAGACCCACATCCCTGGCCTCCAACTGTCCATTTGGCTTTGGACTCACTTTTGACTACCAAGGATGTTCTTTCCCAGACAAAAGTATAATGCTGAAAAATTATTGCTCCTTCATTAATTAATTTGTTCTTAATTTTTTATTCTGACTTCATTTGCAGGAGAAAGTTTTCAATGTCTTGGAGAATGGAGTGGATCCAATGGAGGCACTTACTTTGCCTTGGAAGACATGCAAAATGGATCCCCAAAATACAGATGTGGTGTGAGTCATCCCTTAATCTACATTCAATAGATTTCAGATAGTGCTGTACATTACTTTTGCTTGGGTATTTAAAAACATTTTTCAAAGAGGCAAATCTTCAATGATTGGAACACAATTTGATGCTACAATTATCTCAAACCACCCGTGATCATTTATACCCACAATTAAAATTAGGCAAGGTACCCCAATTACTCAGAATTTGTTCCTGACTCAGGATTTATCCATCTTGATCATAAATGCAATTTAGAAGGGCTTTTTTATTGTTATTGAAAAGGTAATCTTCATATAGAAATATGTAACTTTTTTCATGTAAAACATAGGGCAATAATTTCTGAAATCGTCCAGATGCTGAGAGAAGAACAAGGACTTATCTTCATGAGCATGGCAACAGATTCCAGTTGCAGACATGGCCTCAGAAGTGCAGATGATGGAGGGGAAACCTGGATGTTGAAGCAAGTCAATGTGCCTCCAAGTTCAACATCCTGCACTTTCCCTACATGGTCCCAGGGAGTCTGGAAAGACCTAGAGGTGACACCTGGCAAAATCACCTACAAACAGACTGGCCAATTCCAGACCCTCTCCATGTCATGTATGCAGGAGTACAACCTTGTTCCAGGGATGTTCTTTGTTCAAGCTTACAGCTCTTGGTAAAAAAAACAATTTTCTTCCATACATAATTCATGTTTTTCAATAATCAAAATTGGTTTCTTGGCAGTGGGGAAGAAATGTTCAGTTGCATGTGGTTCAAGCAGAGACACAAGAACATCCTTGACATACAAATGAGTGAGTTCAAGATTTTGTCTCATCAGTTGATTCATTCATTCATATGAAGTCTTATACTTTACAATGCAGGTCCCCCAACAAAGACAATGAACTGGACAGCATGTGCAGCTCATGACCAACAAACTTTCAATGCTTGGTCATCTCATCCAAGTAATGCTTTTATTTTGTGCTGGACTACAACTAATCTTTCAACTAATGACTTGGGTTTTTTTTTCAGAATTGAATCCTGAGGAGGCAACATGTGCCTTCTCTGCTGGGGAGTGGGTTGGAGCAGACCCAAACAAACCTGGGCAGTGTGTTGAAGTGATCACAGATTGCAGGACCTCTCACTCTTTCATGTACACGGTCATACAGTGTCCTGATGGGCCAGATAAATTGCTGAAGGGCAAAGACCAAAAGCCAGTTCACAGGCATTCAGCTGAGTCTGAGATTCCCATCAGGACTCCTCCAGCAACAAGGGATGAGAGACCATCAATAACAGGTGGTACTGACTGGTCAAATTTATTTGCCACCAGGAAAAACCCTGCAGGACAAAGGTATACACCTTTTAAAGAAATACATTTCAAAGAATGCATATTTTCTCAACAACATTGTCATTATTTACCCTCAGACCTCAACAACAGCCTCCATCAGGAATGCAATCCAGGGCACAAGTGAAGGAGGTGCCATCAGGTCAAGTGCCAAGAAGGAGAAGACCTCAGAAACCACAAACAGAACAACCAGCAGCACCAGGTTCAATGAGACAGGCCCCAAGGCCAATTTGGAGGTCAAGGAGAGAAACCAACTCCGCTTCAGACACTAATTCAACCATAGATACCAACTTGACTGACTCTGACAACCTGACAGACAACTCCACCATTTCAGTTGAATGGTTGAGCACAGATGAGAAGACTGGAAACTCTAGTGATGAGTTGCCATCTGCCAAGTTCAGCCAATATGTGCAACTCAGGGGCTATGACAGGAATCCCTCCAGAAGTTTTGGACAACCTTATGACCCCCTGCAGTTTCACAGGTAAGATCTCAACTATATCATTGCTGGTCCACCAATAATATACTGATATCATCTTGCAAAATGTCTCCTCAGAGATGATTACTCCTCCAGGAGAGTTACAACACCTGCCCCTTACAACCCAAGAGCCCCATGGCACAGGGCCCCAAGTGCAGAGCAAAGTGATGTTGAAGACAGACACCCAGCACTCAGCAGACCAGGCAGATGGCAAGACACTCCCAAAAAGGAACCAGAGTCCCCAAAGTTTGCCCAAGATGATGACATACCATTCCTGGAGCCTGGGTGGAGTGAAAGGAAGAAGACCACAAGTGCACCCAACAGGGTAGAGACTCATGCCAAGGGACCAAACTACTTTGAGTATGACCTGAGACAGCAGCCTGATGGTGGACATGGTGGAGACCATGGAGACAGACCCTGGCAACACCCTGTGATTCAACCAAGGTTGCCTCCTCCTGCACACCCTGACCATTTGCCAACTGAGTACAAGTTCACTATGGTTGGTGGGCCTCAGCAGCAAAACCAGCAGCCACCCTCTTTCCATGACCAGCAGTGGGCACCCCCACAACCACCACCACAACCACCAACAACCCCCTCTCCTCCTCCAGTGCTTCACAGGGAGTATCCTCCTTTACAGCCAGAAAAGAAAATCAGCCCCAGGCAATTTTTCATTGGAGAAGGTAAATAAATGTATGGTAGAAAATTGAATGTACAGTATTGTTGAGGATGACATGCAAAGTAAAAAAAAATAGACATCTGGTAAAAAATATACTTCATATACTGTATATTATATATGATGAGTCATCTTATAATGAAAAACACCATCCTTATATGTGCAGTCATATCCAAATAACTTCATATTGAATTATGCTGCATAAAATTTTCTTGGATGAAGCATGTGTATATGAGGAACATGTGAGATTGGCAAAATTAACATGAAAATTGATTTTTTAAACGCCATTCATATGTACAAACTGCATTGAAATCACTGAAAAATTCGAATTCAAGAACAGGAATAATTGAATATTGTAGCATCTCCAATTGAAATTCATGATATATATGGTCAATTTTCTGCAGAGGAAAGATACAAATGTTCTGGACATTGGGAGGAACAAGGAGTTACAATGGCTTATGCAAGAGAAATGGAGTCCTCAAACTTTGAGTGCTTGGTGGTGAAAACCTTGTCAGAGGATCACATACTCCTCCAGTTTTCTGGGGAAACTTGTCAAAGAAATGCTGCTCAACTTGATTCAAGCTTTAGTAGTATCAGTTTGAGGAGAAAGGGTGAGTTTTGACTGAACTTGCATCTTCTGATGAAAAGTAGTTTACACCAGTTCAGTGCTTGATATTATCTTCAATTCCAGGTACCAGTTGCCCAGAGAATAGACCAACAGTGGCACCTAGTGTGCCAGTGAGACCACCTAGTGTGCCAGTGAGACAACCTATTGTGCCACCAGCAAGACCCCCAGCATCAGCAGCTGTGCCACCCACAGGGTTGCCCAAGTTGACTCCCCCAAGAAGGCAGCCCCAGCAGCCTCAGCCACCATTGACTGAACTTGCATCTTCTGATGAAAAGTAGTTTACACCAGTTCAGTGCTTGATATTATCTTCAATTCCAGGTACCAGTTGCCCAGAGAATAGACCAACAGTGGCACCTAGTGTGCCAGTGAGACAACCTATTGTGCCACCAGCAAGACCCCCAGCATCAGCAGCTGTGCCACCCACAGGGTTGCCCAAGTTGACTCCCCCAAGAAGGCAGCCCCAGCAGCCTCAGCCACCATCAAGATCTCACATCAAGAAACCTACCCCCAGCAGAGCCCCTCAGGGCTGGAAAAAGCCCAGAGGAGGAACCACACCCAGACCTTGGAGTCCAATAACTGGTAATATTAATTTTTTAATCACTTTTCAAGAAGTGTGGAAAATCAAATTTCAATAAAAATTCCCAAAATTTGTCACAGAGAACAATAAAATAAAAGTACTGTATAAAAACCTTGGAGTCCAATAACTGGTAATATTAATTTTTTAATCACTTTTCAAGAAGTGTGGAAAATCAAATTTCAATAAAAATTCCCAAAATTTGTCACAGAGAACAATAAAATAAAAGTACTGTATAAATAAAATAACTGGTGACATTCTTGAAAATAAAATTATGTTACAAGAGGCATGGAAAATCAAATTTTCAAAATCCCAGAATTTTCAACAGAGTGAAATCAAATGAGTTGAAGAAAATTTTCCATAAATTGCATTGTCACGTGATGATATGCAAATATGGAAATTTTCAACAAGATGGAATAATAGGAAGTGTGTTGATTCACCAACATATACAAATGGAGCACAATAGGATCTCATTAAATTACATTTTCTTGCATCAAGTTCTTTTTCAAAAATAATGTTTCTTGAACAGTTCCTGTCCAATAACAACAATTGTATTCAAATTTTGGTTCAACATATCTATGACAAAACTTGTCCAATTTACCCTGAAATGACTCTGTTCAACAAAAGTTTCACTTTTAAATAAGAAAAATAATACAGTACCTGTATATCTAACCCCCCATAATTCAATAAATATTGTTTTATTTTTTTCATAGCTGGACCAAGCAGAAGCAGAGCATCACCAACACTACCACTTTCTAGACTGGCTGTAGTTTTGGCAATGGCATTTGCTCTTCTAAGATTTTAGGGATATTGATGTGTTCTGGTGGCATCTTTTGTACATGGACCTAAAAGTGACATTTTTCAGCAATCAGAAGTTGCTATCTGATTTGAATCACTGCCAACTTGTGAAAACCTTAACTTCATCTTATTGAGGAACCTTCTACCTGTGATACAACTTATTTCAGAGATGTTCACAAAATTTAAAAAAAAGATTAATATAAATATATAACATTACCAGAAAGTCAAGATTTCTGAATTGTCAAGCATTCAAAGCAATAATTCTCTCAGGCCAAGTATTCCCCAACACATATTCCAACAAAAAGTTGGCATGAGGCTATGGTGAACTTGAATCAAAATTTCAACATTGAAGATATGTAAATGTGAAGGAATAAATTTCAATTCTGACCTTATTTACAATGACATTTCTCATTCTACCTACTCACCTAAATGAGCTGTGGAAAAGCGAAAAAAAAGTTCACTCACCAGCAGCCATGATGGAATCTCATCTTCTGCTGGACACCATGTGATGGTGGCGCCATCTTGAGAGACTGCTGCAATAACCCGGATCATGGATGTCTTGCATAACGGATCTCTCTGCACAATGGGCTCAAGCTGCCAAAAATGTTTGCTCCACATAAAGGACCCCTCTTTGGATCATAATACTGTACTGCGGGAAATTTTAGAGCTCTTAACAATTCAAGTCGCCCAAGGATTTTTTTTCATTGCAACATTTTCTTGATGGTCTTTCGCAAATTTTTGAAAACGTGTTTCTTAATATTTTATATGTTTCAATGAGGATTCTTCGAAAGATATTTTCGCTGAGGGCCCTGGGATGGATTCAACATTTCGAACAGCTCTAAATCACTCAGTTTATCCACTGGTCCAGCTCGAGTCCACTAACCGAGGCACTACTTTATAGTCCTAATTCGCCTTCGGTTCTCATTTCACAACACAGTTTAAATCGCCAGCACCTTCAGGAAGGAAACCCTCGAGATTTCGAACCTCACGGAGCACTGACCAAAAATTCCAGAAGGATTTCAAGCCATTTCGAAAAAACTAGTTCCCATCCACGAGAAGTCTCAGGTACAAAGACATTGAACCGGTTTCCAGAACAAAAAACTTGAAATAATCCTCGATTCGTGCCCGAGTGAGAAGCCAACTTCATTCTCGTTTCCAAATAACTGGAAAATATAAGGTACAGCTTTGGTTACAAAAAAAAACACACACGGTTCTTAGAAGTAGTAAAAAACAAAACAAAAAAATAGCCCGTCATCAGAAAAAAAAACTGGAAAACACTTCGGTAAAATGGCGCGTCGTGTTCGAAAAAAAAAATCATCAAAACACGAGATAAATTCAATATTCCAAGTTTCCAAAGCCTGGTTTGGAAAATGGACGAGTGTCGCTAGTTTCCGCCAGTTCTTCCCTTCTGGAAACCACCAAGTCGACGCACACGATGAGAATGGATTCGTTGGACAATTCGCACGACTCCATGTCCATGTGCAAAAATCGCTCAGTTTCGCTCATCTCTTCTGCCCAAATGCCGGTGTCCTTGATGGGCTTCAGGCCCCTGACTCCGGTGCGAAACGTCCTCAACCTTTTTTTTTTTTTTTGGGATTGATTCAAAATACAAAATAATTTTTCGGAACAGTTTTTTTTTTCTTATTCGTATAAATTTAATAATAAATTGGCAGAGCAGCTGGTTGAAATCAAACTTTCTCAAATTTTCTGATACTTTCTCACAAATATTTGATGGGAATTTGTTTGAAATTCTTTTAACACCTAAATTGGCAGTGAAATTATATTAAATAGATTTTTCCCTACCTAGAAACACTTTCGTCAGATTTCCTCGACCTTCTTTCTCACAAAATGCAAGGATTTTCCAGTGCTGCCAATAAACAAATTGGCCAAGAATTTGAATAAATGACAACTGCTCAGTTTCAGCAACTCTCGTTAAATTTTTAAATGACTTCATCCTTTCGAAAAAAATACATGAATGAATTTCTGTGTAGTTTTTTCGCATTTCAACAAATTCGCAGTGAAGTTGAATGAAATTTAACTGTTCTTTTTCCAGCATTTCTCACTCAAATTTCCTCTAGCTTCTTTGAAAAATATACGACACGATTTTTCCGAAGTTTATTAAATTGAAAAATGGGCACTGAAGTTGAATAATTTATGTTAGCCTTATCAGAAACTTCAGGTGGAATGTCAACAATTCACAAATACATACTCAGGGATCAAGAAAATGGGATTCAAACCTCTGTTCAATATTAAATATTCTTCAAATCATTTCTAATTGCACCTCCATTCCATCAAGAAATTTGTTACTGAATTTTCCATAGACATGTAACGAAAATGTCTCGTTCGACTTCCGAGAAACCACTCGTAAAGCAATTAAATATTCTAAAAATTCTGACATTCCAGACTATATATAAGCTTTTCTTTTAAGTGGACTTGTGTTCTTTTCTTCCCAGAGAGGTTCAGTGGGAGCACTACCCTAGGTGACCTGCTAGTGTCACGTGACTCAAGAACTTTGAGTATACTTCGAACAACAGAAGTTAACGCAGTCTGAGCTTCAGACCAAATTTATACCCTGAAACAAAAAAATTGCATGCACTCGGTATTGGAAATGGGATTTTTCTTTTACAGTATATGAAAAAGTTTAAACAAATCACTAACCTGTCCATCTCCAGGATGCACCTTCATGCTCAACACACTAGGGTTTGGAGTTTGTAACAAACTTCTTGAAGAGAGACAGGTACCACTCAGAAAGACTAAGGGACCGCCGTTTTCTTATGTAAGTAGTTTAAAGGTTATTCCAGTTTTAGTATGTAAAAACAGGGAATGCTCACTTCTTTATTCAAACACTGTTTATGAAAATGAAGAAGTTCTATCATTATTACCTTTCTCATCATTGGAGATACAGAATAATGGAGCATTCTGCATAGAAAACCTGATTTAGGCAAGGATCACATGCATATTCTTTGAAAAAAAAAATCAAGGCAGAAAAGGGGGTTGTTTTTTGCATGAAGGTAAACATTTTTCAGAGAAAATATATCACAAGACCAGCAATGCACGTAATGAGGGAATCTCTGCATACAAAAACCATGAAAATGGAATACTGTTAAGCACCAACCCTGTAGCAATGCTCTTCTTCGTTCATTCAATTACAAATTACACTATGATACTTGAAAATGTTGATTTCTAGTCAACAAAAGCAAGGGTTTTAGTTTTTGCAGGGATGCCAAAAAATCAAGGCGCGAGTCTTACTCAAGGGCACTGCGTTACTCAAGTAATCTTTTCTCAAGGTTGAAATTGAAGGAAAAGATACTAAAAATTCACCTCATGCATGCAAATAAAGTTTCAGCATGTTTTTCTTGGGAAATAATCTTCAAATTATATTTTGAAGCCAAGTGAGAGGAAGAAGACCCAAGTTGATGCATGTGATGCCAAAATAATGCGGTGTGTTTCTCTACATCCAAAATGCACTCATTATCATTTCAGGCATGCTAACAAAACTCCATGAACTAAACCTCATGATTGCATTAAAAAAAATACTCAGATTTGCATTTACTTCCAGATTTTGAAACTAAATTACATGCAAGCATCTCAGGGTAACATCTTCTCATGATGAACTTACATCCAATTCCCACCATCTCTGGTGTGAACAGCTTGGTCACCATAAACATTCAAACTGGGCATTTCCACAGTTGACAGTGGCCTTTCCACACTCAAGTGCAGTTGCCGGATCCACTGGGTTTCAATGGTGCGGTAGATGGTGTCAGGGTCCAAGACATTGTCCCTCCTCAAACACTGCACATCCAGGGGATGCATGACCAACTGATGAACTTTGATCAGCTCAAAGATCTTTCCATATTTCCGCCCTTCTGCGGTGAGCAAGAATGGAGTACCTGGAAATATGAAATTGAATACTACACTTCAAGCAAACCTATTTCTCTGGTAGCAGTATTTATTATACTAAAAAAAAAACGTTATGGAAACACTGTACACTGTTTTGATACCTCAATTCAGAATGCAAAATTCAACCCTGCACATTCATAAATGGTCAAGCATTTTCCTTACTCAAGTTTTGACATAAACTGAACAAGACTAAAACTTTGAACACGACCATACATGAACTCTTCCATTTCTCAAGAGGTACTGAATGTTCACAAACATGTTTGTCTCTGCATGAGTTTACAGGCAGAGTGTTTTTCGTTCTGGTCGATAGAAGAATCCCAAAAATATTATCTAGTGCAGGAATCTTGAGACATTTTCCTTCACACTAAACCTTAAATAGATTCCTCATGACAAAATAATCGTTTGACTTGAACAAAAAAAGATGAATGAATTAAATGAATAATACCAAGTTTCAGCAAATTAGAAATTCTGATCAACGAAATGTAGGTCTTTTTCAAGTTTTAGGATAATTTAGAAAGTCAAACGTTTTAGAGAGTAGATCTTGACTTCAATTTCAATTATTTTCAGAAGTGATAATTACCCTACGTTTTATTTTTTTTAAGAAATGAAGAAACTGAGTTTCTTTGTGGAAGCAATAGGCTATCTAACGTCTCCACTTCAATTCCTATTAAATTAATCAAGTGTTTAAACGAAGCGACAAGCGCAAAAACTAAAGTACGAACTTTTCATTTGATCACACCCATTAATTGGGGGTGAAAAAACAAAATAAATCACACATCCGTTTAAAAAACTGGGTGCTAGAAAATCAACTTGATCTGATGCGTTCACATTTTGTCACGACAGTAACTTATTGCGTCACACAAGAAAATCTCGGAATATTAAAACTGAATTACACTCACCTTGCTTTTTCAGAAAGAAATCGATGGCATCGTTCATGATGACTCTGACCCCGTCTTCTCCATCGCCCAAGGACTTGACTTGGGCCTCTTGAATGTACACCCAGACACACAGCATGCTGTAAAGTATCATCTCACACGGGATGACCACCAGGTCTTCACTGGCCAGCACTGTTTCTAGGGTGTCCAAGCTGTCCCAATATATACATACATACATGTATTTATATTTTTTCAAGCATTTTTAAATGGAGAGAAGGTGGAGAAAAAACTCACGAGAGATTCCATATGACAGCAAGGCACCGGCTTTGGTCCGCGTTTGAAATGGGGAAGGCATTTTGAGCTAGCCAGGTCAAGGCGGCTGTTTTAACTGACCCTACTCCGTACATATCACCAGCAGCCAGGAAAGACACAGCATTCTGGAACATGAATAATGTAAAACATTTTACAAGGGTCCCACGATTCAAAACCAAAACCATCAGGATCCGGTCAAGTCAAAATTTCCTTCCGGGATGATTTCATGTTCGAAAGCATTTCGGAAACGCTAGACACAAACCTGGAAAAGTAATTCATCTTTCATCAAGCTAATTTTTAAATTTTCAAGACGTTCTACACCTTTGGGAAAATATAGCATTTTCATTTTCATTTTTTGAATTTTACATCAAGTAAAAAACTATATTTTCCAAAGGTGTGGAACGTTTTAAAAATTATAAAATTACCTCGATCACATTTTCATTCTACTTTTGAAACGATTATTCCAATTGATCTTTTAGGTTGAACTGTAGCGCGAATTTCTGAAAAACCTGAACTTGTGTTCGAAACACCGTTGATTTTTGTCATACAGAAAACAACTCGAAAATAAGAAATTTCCCCATAAAACGCACTTTTTTCTACGTGATTCGAAGAAAATGTAAACATAACCCAAAAGAAATAACAAATTCTAACTATAACTTTTGAATTTCCAATTTTTTCGGCTTTTTCTTTTTTACTTTCGTCGCTCAAGAAATGTTTGCAGTGACACTGTGACAGGCATCACCGAATTTTAACGCAGATTTCACAATAATAACTTCAGAAATGATCCCCAAAGTTAGATATGAACACGGCTTTTAAACTCACATCACCATTCACAGCGCCAACCATCAAATCACCACATTTCGCAAGCAAATGCTCCAACTGCAGGAGCCTACAAGCTGCGACAACGTTCACTATGGCCTCTCTCGGTATGTCCACTTCTCCGTGATACATAGACCCTAGGGCTATGTCCAGTCCCTGCGCTGAAACCCGGCCATCGACGATCTTGAGTTCCACCACGTCATTATCCGCATCTTTCCAACCTCCGTGGAACATGGCTTGAAAAAATGGGCTCTATGCAAAAAGAAATATGCTTTCTTTTAGATAAACATGAACACAGTCGAACCTCCCTAAATCGAATTTATTCTTCAAGTCCCTGTCTAAATTCCCTTTTTTTTCAAAAATGCATTAAAACCTCCAATCTGAATAAATCAAATTTTCTGGAAGCCTTTTCGCTATTATTTTATTGACATAGGAAATATAAATATAAATAAAAATTAAACTGCATGTGTTCTGAGAGGAATTGAAAAATAATTTGGGCTAATGAACCCTTGCCTCCAAGCTCAGCATCCTGTCAACTCATTTGAGAAGCAATAGAAGGCCCAGAACATCACAAATCAAGATTCCCTGTAAATCTCTCTCTCCCAGAACAAAAAAGCTTGTTTCCCCAGCCCTCAATAAATTCGAATTTTCTCATTGGTCCCTCGACGTTCGACATAAAGAAGTTATCGAAAACGAAGAAAGAAAACACTGACCTGCTGTAAATAAATTCGATGCAACTTCCATTCCTGGCCCAAAGCTTTCACTGTGACATCGGATCCAACTCCGGCTTTGAACAGAGTGTCGTAAATGAAATTTCCTGTCTCTGGAACTCTGACTCTGCAACAAATCAAGCGAAGTATTACTTTTCAATTAAAGTAAAAAGCAAGAATAGAACTTCAAGAATCAGCTCAATTTCGAACCAAAGTTGTTCGAAATTGGAAAAAAAATCATTCTCAACCACTTCTTGTCAAACACAAGCATAATAATTTCATTTTATATCCTATTTCTTCAAATGAAAGGGTTTACTACAGTACATGCAACGAGGCACAACAATAAATGTGAAAAGAGCTCCTAAAAATGCCCACATTAAATTGAAACATTTTGAATGCACAAATTGTTATCTATTGGGTAAATTGAAAAAAATACATATATATACTGGACAAACCTTTTGATGGGAAGTGAAGGATCATCATTGTAGGGCTCTGGGTCACTGATTTTCCTCTTTGTCCCTTTGTTGAAGGACAACCTTACATGGCGACGTTCTGCACGAGGCTCTACCCTTGACCGGGAAAACGGTAGGCCCATTTTTGATCCAGCTCAATTTTTTTCTTTTGTTTAACAACCATCAAGTTGAACTTTTTAAACCATATCTTTATTGGAAAAAAAGAGGAAAAAACAAGTCAGGAAATATTTCAAGCAAGCAGCAGTCTTTACTTTTTCTAACTCTGCGTAAAATCACTTCGAGAAGGGTTTCATTTTTCAAGATTCGAAAAGACGTTCCAGCACCAAGATTGTCCCATCACTCAGAAGGGAAATGATCATATTTTTCTTTTTTTTTTCGTGCAACCTTCTCTCTAAACCAACAAATTACTATACCGAAGCATATTTTCTGGGGGACAAAATAATTTCTCAGTGTTATATTTTTCTCAAACACGTGTCAGGCATTTGATTAAAAACTTTCCACAAGTCCTATCACAAAACCATTTCACACACTCCCAGCGGAATGCAAAGTCACATACATCATCGGATCCCAACCAGCGAAAAAAAAAATGCATTGCATCTTCGGGCATGAAATAAATCTACATGTAGGCCTGTCTGAAGGACTGCATCAGCCTGTATTCGGCAAAGTAGAGGACGTAGGCAGCAGAGCTCTTCACTTCACTCGCAGGCATTTCTCGTACACTCTGGTCATCATACTTGCACCACCTGCAATCAAATTTTCAGCACACAGTACTTCAAATATATTTTTCCAGCAGATGAGCGAATAAATCATTCACTTTCTTGCAGTACTTCCTCATTTCTATAGAGGAAGATCCCATGAACATTTCTCTTTCACAAAAATGATTCCAAAATAATTTTTCATATACACTGATGCTTCCAAGCATTCCTTGCTTATTTTATCCCAGCAGCATTTAAGGGATCTCAAAGAATTTCATATGATTCTCTTACATTGCAACAAAATGCATCATTCTTTCTGGGATGTCTCATAGGTGTCACCTCAATCACAAAACAAACCTAACAAGCACACAAATGAAGCAACTTGACCAAATCTACTGTATTTACTCAAGTACCTCACAGCGTCAAGTATGAGTGTATGACACATACTACAATTCTGAAAAAATGCCATTCCACACTCAATTTGCAAGCCTTAGTTTTCAGTTACAATAATAAATTTCTTGAAATATGTGCGGTAAAAATCTGAATAAAATCCCATTTAGAAGTTGAGTGCAATTTTGCTGTTTTTCCTCATTCAAACTACAAAATCATTCAACAAGAGAACTTTTGCAATTTTTTAGTGAGGGAAAAATGTCAAAAAATGTTTCTTAAAAATCTGTACTCTGTGACTGACTTGCACCCCCTTTTTGACCCCAACATTTACTTCACAACGCAAAAAAATGAGGTTTTCGAAAGAAAAAAAAAATGTTGCGACCCATTCACGTGAGAAAAAACACTCTTCCAAACAAGCATTTCGTGAAAGACAAGACAAAAGAAAACGATTGAAACTCACGTTTTCCCCTTATTCTTGCAATACGCAGTATAATGCCCGCCATCCATAGTGCCGTAGTGATTGGTAACAGCAAACAGGTCGAACTTCGTCGGAGAAGACGTCGTGGGAACGTGGGCACCTTCTGGTGCGATCGGAAATTCCCCGAGGTCTAGTCTGTCCAGTTGGAAGTCCACAAAGTTCTGCAGTTTCTTGTCTAGTCGGCCAGCATGCTTCTCAAACCGCTTCAGGTGTATCACTAGGATGTGGGGGAACTTCCAAATGTTGAATTTCTTCACCGTGTGACCCTTGCGGTGGCACTTGGGACACTCCCTGTCCGACAGAAACTCGCCATTCAAGTATTCTCTGATGCAGTCCTGAAAAATGAGCGGTTTCTTCTCGTCAAATTCATCAGGTAACGCGTAATTCTGCTACAAGATATTTGTCATTCGATTCAATTCGTCAAATACTTCGCCAAATCCATAACTACATTTTTCGGCTTAACTTAAAGTATCGCCCCTCATGCATTAGCTTGATAGAACTTGAGGCGACATCTATGCAACGAAAAAGTAAAAGCAAGGAATCGTAGACATGGCGTTAAATAAAACGCTGTCTGATGTTATTTCAACTTCAATTTATTCGCTAGATAATCTGGCAAATATTCAGCCGTACTGATCACATACTCTTTGGCTTTTGTACGCTTTTATTGTCGCCTAACTTGAATTAACATGGAAAAAACTTGAGCGACATCTACGTGATGGAAAAGTAAACCAAAGAATGGTGGACATGGCGTAAACTAAAACGCTGGCTGATTTTGTTTCAATTTCAATGTCTCAGCGAGATCATCTGGCAAATATTCCGTCCTAGCCCTCAGAGACTCTAGAAAAATATGACGTACAGATTACTCCAACTTGGCCAGAAAATACTGAACTCATGAACAAGTGTGTGTGCGTGAAGGAACTACTTCATCTATGAAATCGACACCACTTTCGATGGAAATTATTGTTTTTTTACCTCGAGCGTGCAGCGATTTTTGGAAGGCAATGGCAAGGAGAGCTCAAAAATGGGCTCAAAAGTCCTGGACCTGTCGTTGCAATTCTGGCAAACCAACGTGGATCTCTGCAAGCCTCCAAACGAGTCCACAAATATGGACTGCTCAGCAGCATTCAAAACTTTCCACGCAGCTGTAGCAGCTTCTATATCATTCGGAATCTTGTCGATGTCCAGGGATAAATTTGAAGCAGGTCTTCCTTTCTGCGAGAACACCGGAAAAAAATACATACTGTATATTTCAAATCGGCAAAATGTCAGTCAAATAAAAATGAAACTTCGCCTCTACATCTGCACAATTGATTGGAACTCAACTAAAACAACTAAAAACTCACGATCTTGTTGACGTCATCACGAAGCCAGGCAAGAAGAATGACCAAAAACTCATGGCAATCTTGCTGATCAGATCCAGCAAACGAAGAATAATACCTTCCAACCAGTTCTTTAAAGTCATAGATGGCGATGTTCCTGTAGTTTCCAGACCACAAGTGGCGGAAAACCAAGTAAAGCTCTTTTGCCACTTCTCCCTTCGTGTCGCACTTGGCATTAAGGTCCTCACTGAAACAGATAATACGATAATGATTACCATTTTTCACTCGCATTGAAGCTTCAAATGTAACACACAGTAACTTTTTCCAGGACAACTCGCCTGAAAAACATGCGAATAGACACACACAAGAAAAAAATAAAAATACCACAGCACAATCATGTGGCAATCTCTCAAACTCACAAGAATTTTCCTTCATGAAAATAAGACCAGATAAAGGGAGTGTTCCCAAGGCACTGGATGGTCGCATTCATGTAGCAGGTGTTGCCCAGGTTTTTCAAACCCGTCCTCCCGGGTACCTGTCCCAAAAATATGTTCAAAACAATTCCAGTTCGGATACCATAAGTTGAAGAAAATACAAATCCTTACAGTATTCCCGTGAACTTCAGCGAAATTCCTCCTTCTCGACATGAAATAATCCATCTTGAAAGACTCCCTCTTCAACTGACGGTCTGAAGACGATACGACAGCACTTCTTTCCTCAATCAGTCCCAACTTACGAGGGGAAAAAACGGATTGAAATTCAGAAAAAGGACGTAGAACCAAGACAATTTCCCGAAGTTACACGCAAGAAATCTTGAAAATTGACGATCGCATAATACTTTGTAGACCATTGCTTTGGTTAAATACGGACAAAACATTTTTTTGAAGGAAGGCGTTCGAGAGTGATCCTGGCAATAATGAGACAACTTTATCCTTTTGACGCCGGTGAGACGTAAAAATAAAAATGATGGTACTTCTGTGACCGGGACTGACAAAAGTGAGTGTCAAAATCAAAACTCCGATTTTCCGTCAAGACAACATTATATAGAAAATTGTTATATTTTCAGGATAATAATCTTCTCATGTCTGTTCTTCGTTCGACTATTAGCAAAATAATTACACTAAAAATCTCCTTTGAATTAACTTTTCCAGGTGCTTGACAGTCGTTGTTGCGATGATACGAATATTTTTTCTAGCATTTCAATATTCTTAAACCTTCACTTGATACAAATTTCGCGATTATATGTTCACAATTTATAGTAAGATCTATTTGTGCCGGAAGACGAACCTGGTCAATGCTGGGAGAAGAATGAGACCTCCTCAGACCCCCACCAGCATCCTTCAATGGTACCTTGGTGATATTCCTCGCCATTTCCTCTTTTCGTCTCTCCATTGCCAATTGACTCTTGATCCTTTCTTCCTCCTCGGCTATTTTTCTCTTCTTTTCTTCCTCTAGACAAAGAAAAAGAGCGAAACCCATTTCAATCATTCATCAATTCATCAGATCTGGACGCAGATTCAATCGTTACTAGACACACAAAATTATGGTTTGGTGCAAAGGTTCGAACACTCCGAATATATTCGCATTTAGCTGAAATGCGACATAACTTCTTTAGCTAAATTGCAGAAATCCAAACGTTTTTCAAGGTCCAGTAGGCGAAATTTTAAATTTTTCTCTTGCGCTAAAAAAAAATTATTACCTGCAAGACAATAAAATTGAGTATCCTTTTCTGAATTACTTCTGAAAAATTTGTTCGAATTCGATTATGATGAACTAGCTTAAATTCACGCATTCCTGTGGGTCTAATACAGAGTGAATCACACTGTAGAATAAATAAAAAATGCACCAATTCGTTTCAGCCTCTCAGATTCGGCGGATTGCTGACGTCGACGTTTTTCTTCCTCACGTTCTCTCTCTTGTCTTTCTTCCAGTTCACGACGTTTCCGCTCAACTTCCTGACGGTGTTTTTCTTCCTGTTCCCGGCGTTGCCACTCAATTTCTTTCCGCTCTTTTCTCATCTGCTGTAGATCAATTTCCAACTTCCGGAGTTCCTTGGCTTGCTTTTTCTCCGAGACCGTCTCTTCCGCAGGCGGCGATTCGCCTGATGCTCGTAACCGAGCTCGCAGTTGATCTATCAGATTCTTCGCATGCATTTGTTCCCGTTCCTGGAACCGAAGATAATCGACTTGAACAAGAATTGTTCGCAGATCACACGCGAGAAAGTTATGCGACGTCGAAAATTCATAAAAATATAAATTAGGGATCCAGGAATAATAATTTCAAGTGTGAGAACTCACCAAGGATTTTCGATTCTTCTCACTGGCTTCAAGCTCTCTCAAAAGCGACTCTTCTTTGTCCTGCAATTCACGAATCCTGACTCCATCTGCATCAGCCTTCCGCTCATTCGCCAATAGTATCCACTTCTTTTCTTTCTCTTCCGCTGCTCTCATTTCACGCAAGTAATCTTCTTCTATCTTATTCTTTTCTTCACTCGCCGACGACAATGACGCCACCAATTCTGGCGGCTTTTTGTTGCGGTCCACAAGAGGAACGTCGTCACTCAACACAGAACTCATGGATGTTGTCGATGATTTGTTCCAAAATTTTTCCAATATTTTAGGTTTGCTAGAACGGTCGAACGCAGGCACGGGATCCGCAAAAGCACGATGATGTCCTCGGAACCTGTGGAACCCAACATCCGTTTCTTCTGTTGATTCCACGGGTTTCGGTTTTTTCGCCTCCGATGACGCGAAGGTGAGTTTCGGGTAAGACACTTTCGTATTCAAGGATATTTTAGATGGGTCCACAGAAATGTGAATTGATGAGATTAATGTCGGCGCAGCGGGTTCCGAGGAAATTTCCGGGCGAGCAACGTCGGGGTGGGTCGTTAGTTTCGGGAACTTCCTGGCGAACATTTCGTAGCCACCTTGAAGCACCATCGGGACGCTCTTGTATTCAACCTCGTCCATCTAAATGCGATCGTTCACAAAATCATGAAATTCACGCGGCAATAACACGCACTGTTACCCATTTCTACGAAAGACAATAGAATGTATCAAAATTTTGCAAACGAAAAAAATTGTCATATTTTCGTTGCCAAGTCTGAAGGACCGGAAAAACAACGTTTTAAAATCACGTGAATACGGAATTTACAGGATCACGGACTTACGCTCAAAGATTTTAGAAGAGCAGCAAGTCTTGGCTGGATCGCGTTGCTCGGAGGATCCGAATCCCAGTCACACAGCACCAACAAATCAACACTGTGTCGTTCCCGCCACTTCTCCACATACAAAGGGGGGATCAATGTCTCCACTTTATGCGTAGTCACTCTGAAATTTAAAATCTCATTCGTAACGCACATTCTCAAAACCTTACTGAAGATCGTGAAATTCACCCCGCGTTCAATCCATCGGCAGGAATGTTGATGGCTCGCTCGTGTAGGATATGTGAAGACAAAAAATGCTCGCTTGGACGACAATCTAGGATGAGGATTGAGTAATCGAAACATCCTTCGAGATTCCTAGCGAGAGAATCGCAGGAAATCTTCTTCCATCGTTCTCGAGAAGGCTTTCGTTGCAAGGAGGCAGTTACGATGGGTTCCTCCGCATCAATTAGAATGAGATCCGCAGGGCCATTGACAACTCCATTTTTCACTGGAGATGCAACAGTTTCTTTCTCTTGCTTCTCGAGTTCAAGGGATTTCCGGCGCTTCATCTCTTCGTATCTCGCTTCCAGTTTCCCTTGTAATTCCTCCAAGCGATTCAGGGATTCTAGAGATAAATTTCCAAACCTTCTTTCCGCTTCCGCGCGGTAGTTAGTCGAACGACGAAGCAAGTTCAACAGTGTGAATGTTCGATAGTAAAACACGTAGCTCATTTCCAGGTCCCCCTTTCTGTATGCCTCATCTGCTTTCTTGTAAATCATTTCCAGCGATTTTATCAACCTGGATACTCACAGTAAAGAGATCACTATTGCAGGAGTATAAAAACCACAAGACTTACTTGTCCCCACGCTCTTTCTTTACATCATCCTCCACATCCGCTCGTTTTTGCAATTCTCCGATGCTGGAGGCCAAAGGTTCTAATCGTGAAGTCATTGCTTGAGTTTAAAAGAAGGCATGAATGAACCTCAGAGTACCACGCTTTCGCGAGCGTGTTCCAGGTTCGCGTCATTGGTTCATCTCTGAAAATTTTAAAAATGATGCTCGGTCATAACTGCCTACACTCAAACACAGCATTGTATTTTCGTCATGAGATCGCGAGAGCACGTCAAGAAAATGGTCTCACGGAAAATACCTTCACTGGAATGCAACAACGCGGGTTCACTGCTTTCATTCGCGGCAAGTATTGCTTCTAATTTAAATTTGATGACTTTCTGGTGTCGGTTAAAGAATTCGGTTGACTCCTTCCGGTGTGGCAGCCGGTACAACAAAAAGTTATCGTGCCGAGTGAATGATACACTATTTACATCATTACATGCGTACAATTTAATACCGAACGCTCAGACCTTTGCTGAAAGTGGATTTACTGAATAGGGCTAAGAAACAGACAGCCGCTATATAATGAACTCCGAAAGATTTATTTATACACAGTTTTATAAGTTTTAAAAATTTATAAACTAAAACATTCCCTAAAATGCATTACCCCAATTGTTATATGCAAGACTAATTCTTAAATTTTGGTCTTGGTGTACTGTACAGAGAACTTGATTTCTCCTTGTTGCCATCACCAATTCCTGCTTTGGATAAGCTAGAGCCAATACTGATAGGAACCGGGTAATTTATATTTTCTACTATTTCAGTTTCTTCACTCACAGATGATCTATAAAATTTTTGTGGTCTAATTGTTAGTTTCTCACTAAGTAATCAATTGAAACTGATGGTAGCCAGTGTTCAATTGAGTCATATAATGTACAATACCACATTCACTGAGTTACCGCGACAATCATACTGTTAGATTAAAAAACATTTCTGGAGCGCCTTACCTTGAAATTCTCTTTGACCACTTATCCTTTTGACTAAATATTTGGATTAATATGCACTTCAAATTTGCAATAAAATGTCACAGAATGATCAAAGCTTATTACCTGTTGAATAAAATTATATTTCTGTGAACACCCAGTACTTGAAACCCAACTAATAATAAACCATAGACAGCAATTGTTTTAGAAATTTCTAGAATTTGAATACCTTCACATATTCTGCATGAACAGACAATAGCGTAAATGCATGGTGATTTGCCCACTTTTAAAATAACTTTTCTTCAGTACAAGGATCATAAATTTAGTCACTGGTTCCCAAAATAGCTACAGAACACAGAAATGGGTTCCACAACTAGAAATTAGAAGTCATTCAATACTTAAAACAGGGTTGATTCATTCAGTACCTCTCATATGAATGGCATACCATTCTGCAGTAGAGCCCCTAGATATGGCCTACCTCACATAGTTATTCAAATAAGAATTTATTTGAACATGTATGAAACTCTGAATGGACTTCACATGGCTTGAAACCCAGATGGGATGAAAATCAAGACATTCATGTTAGAATAAGTGCGTTCTATTTCATCCACATTTGCAAAACCATGAGGATGAGGCCAGAAAGTCGCCCAAAACTGATTCATTCACAAAACATTTCTGTACAACAAAATAATCAGTTCCTCTACACCAAAAAAAACACGCTAGGATTGATTTTCAAGTGCAATCAACTTCCACTACTTCAACCTCATCCTTGTTGAAATCCGTGAAATTCAACGACTTTTTACCGCCTTTCCGCAAAAACGAGTCCAAAGGCCCGTTTTTAGCAGTTTTTGACGCACTTGTAGTTTCCGGGATTTCTTCTTCGGCTGTTTCTGTCTTCACAGCACTTTTGACCCTTTTTTTGGACTTGATTTTAGTTTCTTCCACCGATTCTTCGTGCTCCAAATCTGCCAAGTCTGGATATTCTTTGCGAACGTCGTCCTTGACGAGCCAACGGCCACGAGACGGATCCCAATCCGCAATCTCCTTCAACTTGGCGACGATCAACAACTTCGGAATCTTCACCTGTGAGAAATAAAATGAAACATAAAAAAAATTTCTGAAGAATGTTCGAATTTCAGCATTAATCCTCCAATTTAGGGGCAAAATTACGCATCGTACACGTGATACATCTGAGCTTTCGTTACTCAACATTCTACATTTAGTTTATTTTCGAATGATCATGGTCGATAAAATTGCATCATTTCGAAGACACTGAATTGCGGAACAGATCAGAAAATATTCGATGTCATACATTTTTACTTCAAGAGCCCTAAGCACACCAGTTCATCAGCAAAATTCGACTCACTGACAATCGACAGCCTTTTCAAAGCAGTTTTTCGAGCCCATTCATCTACAAAATTATGCAGCAAACAAGTGATGCGTTCGTGCTTTCGTTAAACGTTTTCCCTACTTCGGCAGCGTTTGTTTAATTTTCGAATGGTCAGGATCGATAAAATTGAGTAAAATATCGAAATGCGGAGCAGACCAGAAAATATTCGATCTGTCGAATGAATTTTTCCGCGAATAATCCTAAATTCATCTGCACTCACAATCGGCAGCCCTTTCAAAGCAGTTTCTCGAACCCATTCATCGCCAAATTCGTTGGCCAAAGCAACTTTGCTCTTCGACGATCTCGCATAGAGATGTTTCACCAACTGTGGCACAGCCTCGTCAGGGAATTCCGAACGCTTCCGCTTCCGGCGCTTGGCGGAATCCGGATCCGCCTGCAAAGTCGCTCCATCCTCGCTTTTCGGCGGAGGATTGAAAGATGTATAAACTGCGACGGTGTTGCCACAACAAAGCAAGGCTTCCAAGGGTTCCAAATGAGTCAGCCACTTGGGATTCATCGGATGTTCTTCCGAACTCCACAGAGGGCCGATGAGAATGGGATGCAATCGAGTCGTCTTCCGTTTGAGTTCTTCTTCGAACTCTGCGGCTTTCTTGCGCAGTTTCTTCTCCTGAGCATCAGGGTCCTTGGAGTAAAGAGAAGAAACGAATACTTATTTGCAATTTTCAAAAATTAAAAAAAAGTTTTGTTGAAATTGTTCTCACAACATCACGTTCATCCGTCTTTTGTTCAGCTTCATCGCCGCTTCCATCGCCTTCATCGTCGGATAAATATCCGTGTGGAACGAAGAAATCATTATCGATTTCATAATCATCTTCGCTTTCTTTCTCCTCGTCACTGTCTCCCTTCAGGCTCTCAGCATTATCATCTTCATCTTCCCATTCGTCATCCGAATCCACTTCGTAGTCGAAGAATACCTTCATGCAGGATAGAACTCATCAAGACATTTGTTATAATGAAAATATGATCAACTCACAGGATCCTTTTTGAATGGGTTGCGAGGGTTGATGATCTTCGAATTCTTTCGCCAGGTTCCAAAATACGGTGGGCGACGATTTTCGTCAAACTGCAACAGTTTTCCGCGTTTCGTGGCACAGGATTCTTGGCTTCTCGCGTCCAAATGAGTTTCGAACATAATATCACTCGTGCTTTCGTCTAAAAAACGAAGTTTTGCGAGCTGGAATCGGTTTGCAAATATTCTCCGACTTACCCATGATTTGCACGTCACTTTCGTCCAGTTTAGTGACAGGATAAGTTGCCGATGAGCTTCCGGGATTGTACGAAGAGTCTTTGAGTTCCTGAAGGTACATTCCGGATTTTCCGGTTGTTTGCGAGGTCAGGAGATTATCGAGAGCTGATTTCCGAACGTCAGAAATTGCTGCTCTGGTTCGGGGAGCGAGTTTCATGTTGTCTTTCAACTGGGAAGAAAAGTAAGCTAGAAGTTTAGCGTATGCCGTGCTTCTTCCTCATATCACACACAATACATAAACTCTGACTAACCTAATCTTGAACTCACGTTATAAGATACAACGTATAACTCACGTAAAATAAAGTTCTTCATATTATATAAAATTCAGGGAAAAATTAAATTTAAACTCACCGCAAAAGGCTTGAAAAGTTCGTTGGTAACCTGAGAGGTAGCAGTTGATTGAGGTTGAACGTCAACTTTCACAAAGAATTTTGCGAAGAAGTTCTTCTGCTTTTTCGCCTTCTCCAATTTAGCTTCCTCTTCTCGCTGCTTCGCCTCATCAGCTTTACGTTTCTCTTCTTCTTTTTGCCTGTTGAAATAAATAAATCAGTAATTTTAACAGTCGAACACTTGTTGCAATGAAAACCTTTGTTCTTCTTCCTTCGCTTTAGACTTCGCTTCCTTTTCTAATCGTTCTTTCTCCTTGGCTTCCTCTTTTTCGCGACGTTTCTGTTCCTTCTCCTCACGGATGCGTTGACGTTCTTCCTCCTTTTGTTTTCGTTCTTCTTCTTGCTGCTTTTTCCGACGCTCTTTCTCAAGCCGCTCTTCTTCTTTACGTTTCTGGCGCAATTCTTTCTCTTTGCGCTTTTCCTCTTTTGCCTTTTCCTGAGATATCAACAAAAATATGAAAATTTCACTTCGCAAAAGATGTAAAAGATGGGAATACTTACCGAAGCAGGATTTATTTTCCGCTGCCTCTTGGGTTTCGGGGTTTCACCGTTTTCTTCCGGCTTTTCTGGGTTTACGTCGATGAAAGAATCAGACTTCGGCTCCTCAACATCTTCAGTTTCATTCAGATCGTCTCCTTCTTCCTTCAGATCGTCATTATCAACTTCCTCAACGGAAAGTTCCTCAGAGGATGAATCCATTTCAGAGACCACTTCTTCGGATTTCTTTTCTAACACGGGGTCTCTGACGAGCAGCACCGTGACGGGTTTCATAGCGCAGTTTTCAGCTTCAGAGAGTTTCGGCCGCTTCGACGAATCTTCTTCTTTGAGAGGACTTCTGACGCGTTTCGCGTTCTTCATCATGTCTATAATGGATAGTTGTTTCCTACGAGGATGATCAACTGCGTTTTCTTTCGCCGGACCGTCTAAGACGATCACATCTTCTTCAGAAATTGGCTTTGCGTCTTTCTCGGAGATGTTGTTGTCCGAAAGCACCTTCTGAGCAGGTTTGTTTTTCAGGGAACCCGCGATATCATCCGCGACCGAGGATTCCACTTCGGATCGCGACATTTCGTTTTGTGACTGCCCTAATGGAACGGAAACGAAGAATATTTATAATAACACAGTTCAAAAGAATTCAAGAGAATTAGAGAAATGAACTCTTTCATGAAACTGAACCGTAATTCACACTAAATCGCTCACAACTGACATATATTTCCAGTTTCCCCACAGTGAACTGCAGGCACGCGCGCAATGTGCCCGATAGACGGGAGCCATGTTGTCATAGATTAATTATATTAACAAAGAGCTGCAATATTCAGTTATACTGAAAAATCTCACAGATATCCATTTCCATGTTTAGTAAAAGAATACAGCATGTGCCATTGTACAGCCTTAGACATAGTCACCTTGGCTTGCAGCCAATCAATTTATGGGCATCTCAGTCATGCGTGTTTGATCTTAACCTTTTATTTGCATGCCTAAGGTCAAAAAGACTTGAATATATGCTTTCTTCTTCAGGGTTTTTTGTATGTGTCCCAAAGTTGAAAAAAAGATTGTAATCGACTTTCCCGTGGACTATTTTCAATTTTTTTTCTAAATACAAGAACGGAGTTAAAACATGACCATTGATGTCTCTGTAAAATGTGATCTGACGCACATAACAGATATGCTTCAAATTGATGCGGACAGCCTAAGAAAATCCCTTTTTACATCTGCATCTCAACTGGCCGGCCCCACTATAACTGTATGAAAATCTGTATTAGTAAATTCAAGACAAAAGATGAAATTTCACCATCAATAAGGAAGGTACTTTTTACAGTGGTACATGTTGCCTTCAGCTTATCAACCAGCAGCACAGATAAACTTGGCAAACACCAGAATGCGACCTAGGCTGACTACAGATATTAGGGCAACCAGCAAAAAATAAACTTTCAGAAATACAAACCCAAAAGATAAGATAACAAGCACAGGAAATAAACTGAATCATAGTATTCCACCTATACACCCTCAGTCAGAAAGGAACAGTAAGGAATCCAATGTGGATGCTGACATATACAGTGACAAAATTTTGTTTTACTGATGCAAAATTAGACATGCATGGCTAGTGCGAATGAGAAGAACTTTCCCATTGACTTGGAATGGTCATCAAAATCTCCCATGGCTTCAGAGAAGCCCAGCAATGGTGTCACATCAGCATCAACAGGGTATCAGACAAAATCTGAAACCCACCTGAAGGATGCAGAAAATGTGGTCTTTCTGGTGAAACCTTTCAAGGTATGTGCTTGTGAATAACAATAAGGTTCCAAGTGTTTCTGCTGAGTATATGGTTTAAATTTTCCAACTATAGGTGATTGCATTGCTGTGTGCATCAATAGCACTTGTGTTGACCATTGCAGCCAGTGGAACAAATCAATGGGTAACCACTGAAGGTACCATTTACAGCATAGGACTGTTTCAAACATGCACTAGACAATTTACTTGGGAGGAGTCTGGTGAGGAGGACACTGATGAATACGAATGCAAAGTCATCATTGGTTCCCAAGGTGAATTCAAGGTCTCTTTTTTTATATAAAGTTCAGTTTTATGTATGAATACATTATCTGGGAAAATTTATCCCAAATACAGTAATGCATAAATGCAATATGCTTTTGTGTCCTGTTTTCTCCAAACAGGAATAACAGGTCTTGTCTTGTGCACAATCACAATCCTGACCTTGTTCCTGACTGTAATCTTCACTGGCATGGGGATTTATGTTGATGAGGGTACAAAGAAGCAGAAGTGGTACCTTGTGGCTAAAGTCTGCATCATTGTTTCAAGTAAGTGGGTCTTGTATATAAACAACACATACAATAATGCAATAGGATATCAACTTTAAAGCATACAGCATTTATCTAAAGCATCAGTGTCAAAAATAATTTTCTTCACAAATTCACTCCAATATATTTCCAGGATAATATGCTTTTCTTTTGAGGGGGCTTGTTCATAAACTTTGCACAGCATAGAATTATAAGGGTGCTTATTTTCTCTCCTTGCATTTTGGACTCCTTTGCATGCCAAAAAACAGATTCTGTTCAATTTTCTTCTGAGCAGTTATATATACTGCATCCTACAGCAGTTGGGAAAAACATATTGCTATTGAATTTTTGGAAGACTTTTCCCAATATTTTTGCCAAACAAGCCAAGAAGTGATCAAGATTTTTCTCATATTGAAGCCCATGCTGGAAAAATGACGCAACATGAAAATTATTGTATAATTATGTCTATATGCATCTTAATTGGGACCTCAATGTTACTCTGCAATTGAGAAGATGACTATTAATTAAGATTTTGGCATGAGAAGGGAGCACAAAAAGGTCTTCAATATTTTAATATACCAAAAGCTGTGCTCTTTAATTAAATAACCTGATAGAATCTTATGTAAAAAACCAAAAAGGGCTTGGCACTCATTTTTCAACATAGACCAGAAAATTTTTATGCATTATTGAGGAATCTTTTGCAAAACCTCACATTATACAGAGAAAATGTGTGGCACTGCAAATAATCCAAATTGACCTTATTCAGCAAGAAAACCTGTTAAGAAAAATTGGTACTTTCCTGTTATCTCAGTACCTCACTCCTAGACTGCACTACCATCCAGACAAATCTTTAGGACAAGTTCATAATCACAACAACCTACCAGAAACTGTATATTTTTTTTGCATTCTGCTGAAACTGATTTTGGGAGACAGTTAGGTAAAGTTAGGTTAGGTCAGGTTATGTTAGTTAAAAGATATTTGTAGCTAACATAACCTACAGCAGAAACCCAAAGAAAGCAGAAACTGATTTTGGGAGGTGGTTAGGTGAAGTTAGGTTAGGTCAGGTTAAATTGGTCAGATGGAAGGTACAGAGATAACAGGAAAGTAGGTACTGAGATAACAGGAAGTACCGAAAAATTAATGCCAAGCTCCATTAACAACAAAAAAACACAAATTTGATACTTTTCCAGTGGTTAGTTGCACAGTGGCCCTGGTAGCATTCCCTGTGCTGAGCTCTACAACAATGGCCGACTCCTGGAACTTTGGCTGGAGCTATGGTGCGCTCTGTGGAGCAGACATGTTCATCATCGGCGCCGCCATCATGCTTTTCATCAAACGGGAATCCGCAGAAAGGGAAATCAGCAGGAAACCAGCCATTGCCAAGCAAAGTCGGTCACGAGCCACAAATGAAGACAAAATTAAAAACAATGAAGAACCTTTGGTTGGGGATAAACTCGACATTAAAATGACAAACCTTGAAAAACGCGAACACAGCAGCAGCAGTTACGATGAGAAATAGAAAAACGAAGTTTTTTTCTCTTCTTTTCTTTTGAAACATTATTCGTCTCTCAACGATTCATTCCCTCTTCTTCATATTTCAAATTTTGGCAACTTTTCCGACGAAAGACACGGGCAAAAGTTATCTATATCAACCAGCATCGTAATAAACTTTCTTTTTCTTTCTTGGTGGGAAATTCACACCAATATAAGAAAAGCCACATATGAAAAAAAAAAAACAAGAAATTCTTCCGCGAATTTCGGTCCAATCTTTTCCCGCAGATCTTTTCAAAAGCACGCACGAAAAAACAGAACAATCACTTGTTCCGGTCCCACCGAAAAAAAAAAATAAATGAGCAGACAAATAAATTTTTACAAAATCCACATCACACATTCTCACTTTAAAAAAAAAATTGGCAGTTCCCGCATGATCAGCTGCTCTGTGTGTATATAATCGTTGCTTATTTTTCTTCTGAAAGCTGCTTCGCAAGTGATAGTTTGGCAATTCAGCTCTTCTTTTTTTTTTGTGCCAAATTTTCGTATTTTAGCTCCCATCATGTCGAATGGGTGTTTTTTTGTTGTTGTTGAAAATGAATCCCCTTCAAGGCAAGTCCGACCGGATGATGGGAGGGTTCAGGAGGTTTTGCAGGCGAACTGAACCCGGGTGTTCATTGTTTTCTGATTCATAACCCCTGTTGGCAACCCCACCATTCGTGGACCCATTGTGGTAACCTGCGGCAGCAGCTGCTTCAGCCATTCTGGCTTTCATCACTTCGCCTATTTTTTTTTTTTTTTGCGAAACGTTTGCAATGTTTAAACTTGCATGGGAGCGACACCTTCGGTCAATTTGTGAAAGTGAGTGAGGAAAGTTACCTCTTTTCGCCCCGAGAGTCTCCATCTTTTGTTTCCTTTCCGCTTTCTCCCCCATGACTGTTTTTCTTCTCAGGTCCAGGGCTTTGATGGTTTCTCTTCTCATTGAGGAAAGCTTCCTCATGTTTCCAGGAACATGAGCACCTGAAAAGAAGATGTCTTGCATGAGTAAAATATTAAATAAACCAGATGTGGTCTTATTTAAACAATGACTTAGCCCAAGAAAAATATTCAACATTTATTGGTCCTGAAATGTTGCAACAATTCAAGAAAAAAATTCTTAGAGTTGAAAAATTGAACAGAATCCTTATTTTAGGGTTTTAGAATTGTTAGTAATTTGGGATTCGAAACAACACAGGCATTAAAAAACAGCAATTAAATTGGCAAACAGCTAAAAAAAAAATTCAGATATCTAGGAGCTTCAGAATTTTCTTGAGTTTTGAAGCAACAAAAATTGAAATATATTAATTTCATGCATTTCAAGGTTTAAATTCTTACAGAGTTGAGGAATCGAAAAGAATACATTTATTTAGAGTCTTATTATTCTAATCAACTTGGGAAATAAAAAATAAAATAAGTAATAAAAAAACTTGAAATAAATTGGCAAAAAGCCAGTAAAATTCCAACATTTATTGGGAGTGTTCAGAATTTCAAGTATGTTTCCTCTATATTTTTAATACAATAAAAATGAGGTACAGTATATTTTTATGCATTGCAAAGCCAAAATTCTTACATATATTAAAAAATTTAACACAGACCCTTTATTTAGAGGATCATTATTGTATAAGCGTGGGGATCAAAACAACAAGAGTATTCAAATAACTAAAAGTGATATAATTTGTAAAATGCTACATAACTTCACAGATTTTGGGGGTGTTCAGGATGTCAACCTAATTTCCCCAAGCTTTTAAAACAAACAACAAATTGACACTCTCTCATAAAACATCACAATTACATTGTCTGCAGAATAATAATTACCTGATTCAGGATCATTTCCTTCACCAGCATTGGAAATGGCAAAGAACCGTTTGCGGAAAGCAACGTCCAATGTGCCAATTTGTCTGTGCCTGTGTCTCCTGTGTTTCTCCAACTGATGAATAGTCCTTCTTCTACCCAAAGTCCTATCGGACCCATCTTCACTCTCATCTTCATCAATGTCCCTCAATTTCTGCAACTCCTTCACAATTTGCACAGCACTCTTCTCAATATCCAAAACACTGTCGTCCACCTGCAAGGAAGAAAAAAAAGAAGCGCCAATTAACACCTCATCTTTTGCCCATTTTATTCCACTCTGCAGAAGAAAAAAAAACGTACCTTCTTGTTGCAGCAAGTCAGTTCAGTGGATGCCAAAATGTGAGACAAAGTGCCAAAACGATGGAACAACATGGCAGTGAACTGTATGATGAGAATCAGCGCAAAGAAGAACACGAACACCAGACCAATTGGCTCCAATTGCAAATACTCCTTTGTCACAATCGGCTGCCAAAAAGTAACGCAAAATATCAGCAATCAACAATATACAGTATAAATCACTCTGATAATTCCGTCACCTTATTGACACATGGCGACACGAAAAATATTAATACCATAAGCTGTACACACAAACACACACACACACATGAAAAGAAAGCTGAGAAGAAGAAAAAGTGTTGAAGTGTTGTATAAAGGTTGTGCGTGAAAAGGACATGTTGGCAAACAAGGGAATTCTGCTTAAACAAAAAGCTCACTCAGCATATTTTATTTGCAAATGAGGAAACAATAAAGAAAATTATGTAGATATCCACAGCAAAATAAGCATCTATATAATCCTCTCTCAATCCTATATATGTATAAAAGCTCTATATGAAAAGCATCAGTCACAGGTCAATATATAGGAAAGAGAAGAAAATAAGGTCTTTGCACCATTTCATTTCAGTCCATGTCTCAATTCAGTTGAAATCATTAGTCTTTCTTCTTCCTTTTTTTTTCATCAAGCAGAAGAAACCAGTCACAGTAGAAAAAAAAAGCGTCACAGAAGTCAAAATAGCTTTTCTTGTACAAAAGATATTTGCAATTCTTCTTTGTCAGGTCAACTGGTATTTTTCCTGAGTCAATTTTGGTATAGGAATATTTTCAATGTAATGCCAGGGGATCTGAATTGAATTTGAATGAAAATCATAACCAGACTTGAAAATTTGTGAATGGCTAAAATGAATTAATAACATGAGACTGAAGGGAAGATTTCAGCAAAACTGTGGAAATCTTGAACAGAGCAAACAATTATTCACTTATTTGAGAATAAATTTAATTCAACAAGCGGATAAGTCAGATCAGTTAATGGATAATCTGTATGAAACAATATCTGAATGCATATGAATGCTAAATTCCAAAATACAAGGGTTGTCCCAGTTGGACGCGACCTATGATATTTTTATAGTAGGTGTGATTGTAAAAAAAAAAATCATGACATAGCCCATGATGTTCTAAGCTCTTGGCTATTTTCCACATAAAAAAGTCAATGTAACATATTGTGCTTGAAATTTTTTAGGATAGCTGAAAAAGGAAATGTTTTGCTTTTCCAATTAAATTTCCTCCGCATTTTAAATAATGGGTAATGCATAAAAATTCAATTGGAAAAAAGTTTTTCAAGCCACTGATGCTTGATGGGGAGTGAAAACTTTCCAGTTATTACAGCAACAGTTCTTCACTCAAGTCACAGGGCGGGGCTAAAATTTGTTAAAAATTGAACATTTTCATGTATTTACCAACTTTCTTTTCCACATAAAAAATGGATAAAATAGTCAGGCAGCCTGAAACATTTTTATGTCCCTGTAACATGGTTGAAGAACTTCTCTGGCCCTATATATAACTGCATGGGCATTTTTCACTCATCATCATGCAATAAATTTAAAAACCATTTTTAAAATCCCAGACCCTCAGAACATCATGGAATATTTGAATTTGTTCTTTCACAATCAAACCTACTCTGAAAATATTAGAGGTCGCGTGCATCTAGGACAACCGGCATATATATACTGTACATCTGAACTGACCAGTCTTTTCTTGTCACATGAGAAACGTAGTTGGACCAGTTGAACAGACAAAGATGATCCACCTCATATACAAAGAGAGAGAGAGATTTCTAAATAAATATCTATGCCCACCTCATCTATGCATATATATATACTGCATATATATATATATATATGTAGTTAATAACAGTGTAAAATGCAATCTGCACAATTTGAAGCAGTGCTGGTGGTATTAAGCCTCCTCATCTTCTCTCTGCCCCTTTCCTTTTTTTTTTTTTTCCTCTTGCAAATATATAACCATATCCTCTTTTACCTCAGAAATCTCCTCAAGGTAGGTGATGTTGGTGCGGACACCAAGAGGCCAGTCTATGTGTAGTTGGTCTTTGTTTAATTGTAGCAAGAAGACAATGAGAATGAAAAGCGCGTTGAACATGAAGAACGCAAACACGGATTTATTGCGGAGTTCCTTCAGGTCCTCCGCAATCTTGGCCTGAATCCATGATGATGATGATGATGATGATGTTGTGAAAAAAAAAATAATAGTCCAGAGGAATGTGGAGAGAGAAAAAAAGAGAGAAAAAAAGTGTTTTAGAAAAAAAAAGCTGCGGTCCTCACCTGAGCCCCTTCTTCAGACAACAAAGTCACGTTGGTCTTTTCTCCGAATGGCCATTTAAAATGCAGGTTATCCTTGTTCAATTGCAGCAGAAATACTATCAGTATGAATATTGCGTTACACATGAAGAAGTAGAACACACTGCGGTTCCGGAGCTCCTTTAGTTGCCCACCTATTACTTTCTATACATAATAAAAACGATAAAAATATATAAATATATGCAACACAAATATTCATGATTTTTCTCCACACGGCTCCGGATAAAAAAAAAAGAAATATTCCTCTTTGATGTAAATCTGATTTTTCTGCACAGACTGTATTTGAAAAAAAAATGATTTTAAAAAACAGTACCTGCTTCTCCTTGTCAGCGTCAATTGGAAACAAGTATTTCTCTATCAATTCGTTCCAGAATTGCACTTCTGGGCCTGGCAAAGTGTCGTATTCTGCTCTTCGAAGTGCAGAATCTTCCAGCCAATAGGGATTTATCATTTCATCCCTTTCTATCTTTGGCTCAGCTGGAAATAATAAATTCAAAAACAATATTTATACATACAGTATTTTGATCACAAAGTTTTCTTCTTTGATGAAGCTGGGATGCTACAAATTTTTAAATATATTTTTTCATAGTTTTCTGCCATTCAACAAATAATTTCTTTGGCCTATATATAAACAGATGAGTCATGAGCAAAAATTTGTTTTAATGAGATTTTTTTAAATTTCAAGTATACACATAATTTTTGTTTCTGAATGAATGGTATTTTTCAGATTTCAGGTCTCATACCAAGCCGATCGCTTTCAGTGTCTGTCAAATTGTCATCAAAGTTGTCCTCCTCCTGGTCATTTTCTGCAACAGTGCCAAGAGGATCATTGTGACCCCTGGTGGAATTTCTAGAGAAGCTTCTCCTTCTGCCCACAACTTGTCCATGAGGATCCACAACCCTGATGATGATAAATTCAATGATTTTGTTTTTTTTTACAAAGATTTCAAAAAATTAACTTCACTTTTCAATGGTGTCCAAGCGCTTGGTGATGGTCATGAGACTGTCTGCGATTTTCATCAACTGCTGTCCTTCATCAATTGGCTTTGGGTATAAACAACACATGCACTTGAATAGGCCAGCAAGAGAGAATTCAATTGAGCCTTCGTCTTCTGAACCATTGCCTTTGTTGAGGATTCCAAGCAGAGCCTTTTGTCTGTGTTTCTTTTGAGCTTCTTCTGCCTCCTTTTTGTCTCTTTCAAGTTCCTGAAAAGTCACAAACAACAGGTAATTTATTTTTAAAAATTGATTCAGGAATTATAGTGGATCATCTTCAACAATGAGAATTTTAACTTATATTGATATTTTTCTTGGAGTGTAAAGAGCTGAAGTTTCATTGATAGTCCCTTATTACATTCCAATGCTATTTTGTTTTAGAAAAATATACTTTATCACTGAAAAGAACTTCTGAAAATATTTCTAAAATGATAACTTTCAGCTGCACATAATTTTCTTCAAAAAATATTTTGGGACTATTGCAAACTTCTCTGAGGAAATATTGTAGTCCTTGTTCCTATAGACATTTGGAAAAAAATCACATCATAAATAAAATGTAAGAACTACATGTATAAAAGTTTTTTAAAATTTATGATTTCAATTTGTGATATTTTTGTAATCAGAAGAATATTTTACTTTTGCAGATTCATTGGGTTTGTTGTGTTTTCTTCATTTATTGTCATTCTGAAAAAAGTTTTATTTGCTTTTTTGGAAGGCTTCATTCATTCAATGTTTTTGCCAAACGTGGGTTATTGGAAATTTTCTGATTGACGTATTCGGGAAAATGTAATACTGTATATGGCAATTTTTCCATCCTAAAAAAGAGTTTTATTTACATTTTTGTGGCCTACTTCATTCAATTTTTTGTCAAATATATGAGAAGGGATTGGACATTTTCTCATTAAAGAATTTGGGAAAGTGTAATTTAAAAAATTTAGGATTAACTTTCATTTGCTTTTTTGGAGGGCTTGATTCAATTTTCTGCCAGACATGACAAGTTATGAGAAATTTTCTCTTTGAAATATTTGTTGAACATTCAAATGTATATGAATATCTGTGAAACAATTAAATTTTAATCTTGGTGCAGATGACCTTTTTCCAATGAAAGAGCACATAAGGTATATTAGTTTTGTTTTGTCAAAATTTATTTAAAAAAAAAACAAAGTCACATGTTTTCCCCAATTATGAACTCACAGCCTTGGTCTTCTTGGTCAGCACTTCCCTGGTGCCCCAAGAAACGTTATTGAGATTCACCAGCCCATAGATGATCAACAAGAGGTACATGGAAGGGATCAACAGCAGGTACAGCAACCCAGGAACAATGCACCAAAACTCTTGAGGGTGTAAACAGGCTGCTATAAAAAAGCTGCCTGACAAGGCTATCAAGAAAATGGCTGATGGAGATCCTATTCCATCTTCACCCAGTTGCAGGGCTGTTCCCACTATCACTGCCATCATGACCAAGGCATAACCAGCTGACATAATTTGAGCAAAAATCAACTGCAAACATACAAACATCATATTACACATTTTGACACCAGGCAAACAAAACAAAAAAAATTTTTAAAATACCTGGAACTTTGAGGGTGCAGTAAAACAAATGGCCATGAACAAGAAAATGGGTATAACATTAGCAGTGAATGAAGTCCAATTGTCAATTCGGAAAGCAGCCACAAAGGCACCAACCAACATCAAAAATATGGTCCCTGGCCCCAAAATGGTGCCCATCATCAACATGAACTGCAAAATAACAATAAAAAAACATCCTCTTAAATTTTCAAACCCAAAAAGTCTTTCAAATTAAAATATATATATATACCTGATAAACAATGTAAGGAAATGATATGCTGTCATTGACTTTGATGGTCAGCTTGTAGTCCATGAGCAAGTCCATGATGTTGGCCATGGTGGAAGGAACCCATCTTCTGCGCTGGTTGTAAAACTCTGAAAAGCCCTCAGGGCAATGAGTGTAAGCATCACTGGCTGCTGAATATTCCACTCTGTATCCTCTCTGAAGCAGCAAAGTGCACAACCAACGATCTTCTCCTGAATATTAAAAAAAAATTAAAAATAAATAAATCAAAAGGCCGATATTTGAAAAATTCAAAAAAATGTAAAAAATAAATTCAAACCTTGATCGTATTGCACATAGTGTCTGGCTTCATCTGACCTAGTTGTGTATTTCCCCATGACATTGTCATCCATCAAAGCAATTCCACGGAAAATGGAGAAACAGCCAGGACTACACATGACACAACCAATCATGTGCTCTGTTGCCTTCTGAAGCCAATGACCAATTGCATACTCAAACATTTGGTACCACACCATAGGACCTGAAAACATAATGGTAAAATGCATGTTTTTGAAATTATCTTGCCACACCAATCCAACTACAGTAAAATATATATATCATATGATACATAACACACATCATACTTTATTGATATTAACAAAATTATTCTTATGGCACTCACAAAATCTTCAATTGGAATCTTGGATCAACCATAGTTCTGGTGTTGAGTTCTAATTATATACAACTTCAAAAACACTCCACTAGTATAAAGGAAAAACTTGGCTCCAACCCTACAAGACCCAGTTATACCATATCCCTCACATTTGACGAACACTCACTAAATATAAATGAATATGCATCCTAATCCATATTTTGGCTGAAGTAACCATTTTTCTGAAATAGTTGTGAATAATCCACACACATGCATACAGTAGATGACAATAAATATAGATGTCACTATAGCCAAAAAAAGGAAATACCCTGGTTTCAAATCTACAGGGATATAAACCATTCCATCCCATTTGTTTGGCCTATATACTCACAAAATCTGCATGAATATATACATCATACTGTATATTTTTTTGTTGGAATTGTAATTTCTGTGAACCAGGTTGGAGAAGTCACACACATGTGTAGTATAAAATAAATAGATGTCACAGTGACAAAGGAGAAACTTGGTTTTAAACCTATAGTGGTTCAACTATTCACCATCCCCTTTGTTTGGCCCACATTCACGAAATGTAATGGACATGATGCATATCATACCCCACATTCTTCCTGGAATTTTCATCTCTGTGAACTATATAGGTTTAGATAAATCACAAACACAAAGTTGACAAGACTGCTTATAGGAGTCACTAGTAAAATAAAAAAGAGGAAGAAATCTTATTGGTCTCAAACCTGATCCAACAGGATGAATGCGTCCACAAGCAGCCCCAAGTTTCCTGTTCTTCTTCATCAAATCAACCAAAAGCTGCACAGCCCCAGGCTGAAAGTCAATATCTCCATCCAGGGTCAGCAAATATGTGTTTTCAGCAATGGTGGACTTCCTCTCCTCAGAAATTGGCAGCTCCATCAACCGGTGGCCCAATAAATAATACATGTACATCACCTATAAAAAAAAAAGAAGTCAAAACTTTCCTTAATAAATTAAAATACTTGCAAACTGAGAATTAAATACCATTTCTGTCTGCAAAAAGGAGCAAGAATTAGATATGTGGTATTATTCTCATTTGCTCACTTAAAATGGTCTACTGAAGAATGAGTGTTTTTATTGATCATCATACTGTATTTGAATCCAGATATTCAGGGAATGGTTTTGGAGCTATTTGAATTGTTTTTATTTTGACAGCATTGGATTAATTTATTTTATCTTTATTTTTTGTGAAGCTATTGTGTTTGAAATCTAACATATTTGCCAGAGCACCACCTAACAAGGTAAACTGGTTATTTTATTTTTTATCTTTGATCTGGTTTCCTTTTATGTTCTAATTGTTGCTTAGATGAAATTTAATGTTGAATGGTGAGAAAATAAGTCATTCTCAAGAAGAACATCAAGAGAGATGAGCATTGTCCTTCATTTCCCTTGAGGTCATACCAAACACAATATACAGTTCTCTCAAGAGAACTTTCTGCATATACAGGTTTTTCCCTGCAATTCAACCCTAATCTGTTGCTGGACTAGGGTCAAATTGTGAAGCAGTTGAATTGCAAATCAATGTCAAATGCATTGTTCTATACATTGAATCTGATGTTCTTGTGCCTCTCGGTGGGACATCAGAGGTCAAATTGTGAGTCAACCTCCCTGCAAATTCAACCATGGACAGACAAATTGTGGGGTGTGGTCAAAGTGCAAGGTACCACCTGTATTGCCTTCAAGCTGCCTTATTGCTCCAGCACTTTAAATCCTTTCTGATTTGGAGATTTTGCAGAAACCTTGATGGTTTAGCAATAAAATGAACCCCAAATATAATATATATATATGTAAAAACTACAAACCTGACTCCAGCGTTTTCTGGTCCTGATTTTGTCCTTGTTCTTCAAGTGGCAAATGATTTTTGTTCTGCCAGGCAAAGTCCAGACAAGTCTTCCTCCATAAGGAGCAGGGTATTTCTTGGGTGGCTTGATGCGAATGTTGGTCTGATGCTGTACTCTTCGTCGTTGCAGGTAGTATAGTTATTCGTAAAAGTGTTTGACTAACTAGTGTAACAGAGGTAGAGGTAGAAGTCTAGGAAGTTTACGCAGTAGTTTGTTTTACACACGACTTTGTTTTTGAGAGAAAAAATTACCCACAAAAATAAATACAGCAATAAATTAGCTGAGTTGGATACCATTGTTCTCCAACCTGTGGTCTGAAAAAATTTTTTGCCTGTCCACCCAGGAAATTTTCTGCAGGATAATAAATTTATCAAAAGTAGCAATGAAGTCTTTTTTCTTCATCTGAAATTTTTAAAAAACAATGTGACAGTTGAAATTATCCAATGAAAAAAATGGAAGTTGGCCTTCCTTTCAACAGCACTTTAGACCACTTTTCACCTGCAAATTTTTTATTTTATTCTGAGAAACCTGCCTTCAAGCTCAGCTTCCAAATTTTTTGATGACATTCCACTATACCTGCTTCATTGGTGGACCTTTGCCCCACACCTTATGATATTTAACTTGAAGAGGTTTAACCCCATTAAATGTCAAATATGCCACACACCCAATTTTGCTTTATTTCACTTAATTTACATTTAGATAGGCTGGGGACATTTTTTTGTTAATTTTAGATTCAAAATTTTTTCAAGTATTTGAATTTTAAACTTGATCCCCACAAATGGGGCTCACACAGCAGGTATATATCACCTTCTTTTATCCCAATGAGAAAAGTCTTCTATACATTGGAAAAATAAAATGTCAGGCATTTGTTTTACTAAATTGTATTATTATGAGCTAAATTTGAATGCAAACATATATTCTGATTCATTTGCAATGCTAGAATGTCACTATAGGAAGTAAATGCATAAATATATTTTTATGATTTTCCAAATACTGTAGCACCTGAGTCCCAAATGGGTCCCATGGCAGGTATTGGGTTAATCACTGTATATACAGTGAGACCCCGAGATGCGGACATAATTGGTGCATCAAGAGTGTCCAAGTCAAAATGTCCCTGAGTTGAATCTCATTATCCCTTAGACTTACATTATATAATTTTTAATTAGTGTTTTATGCACAACATACTCACTATAATTCCATGAAAATAAAAATTGTCTCCCAATTTAAACTGATTCCAATCAATATATTTCAACAAAATATCGGCTTTCAGGGAATTGAATACCTCTGAACAGTACATNATTTAAACTGATTCCAATCAATATATTTCAACAAAATATCGGCTTTCAGGGAATTGAATACCTCTGAACAGTACATAGAAATGTTGGCATTCTCTGTAAAAAATAATATTCAAGTGAAAAAGAGAGGAGGAAGTCGCTCTGTGCTTGAGGTAATTTTTTTTTTAATTAGCTAAATGGATGGTAAATTGGTGAGATAAATGCCCAAGAACTTTTCTTGCATCAATTTTAGGCTTGGAAATATCTGTTTCTTGTAATTTGGTCTGAAATGTATTTGAAATTTTATCACAAATGTCCCTGTATGTTGAGTCAGTGTCCTCATGTTGGGCCTTTTCTTTATAAATTTTTATGAGAAAATAAGTGTCCCTATGTCAAATTGTCCGCAGGTCAAGGTGTCCGCATGTGGGGGTCTCACTGTATATATATACTGTGCAAATGGAAGAAAAAAATTTGTATATGGCTAACTTTCAAATTCGTAATAGTCAGGGTCGACGACTTTGAGGTACTTTTGAGCCACTCTTCTCGCAGATTGGTCTTCATCCATGCGGAAAATGGACTTGAGCATCTCCATCATCTCGTCCCTTGTTTCATGCCACATGGTGGCACACGCGTAAATCCGCGTGATGTGGTCCGAGCTCTTTGTCTTCTTCGACGGCTCTGTGCCCGAAGAATTCGTGCACACTGAAATAGTTTCGTAATACGGCGACATTTCTTCGCCGCCGTCGTCGATTCCGGGAATATCCTGCCAATTTTTCGAAAATCAATTTGCTGAAATAATATGCTCGTTTATATACTGTATATGAAAAAAAACCTCGGTTTTCATGTCGCCATCTTCCTCCATTCTGCGGTTCATCGCTAGACTCTGATCGATGATCAAAGAGCAGTACATGGGCGTGACAAAGAGCTTTTCAGTCGTCGCCAATCTCTCGCATTTCGGCGTCCAAATGTGCAATGTGACCCAGGTTTGCGACAAGAGCCACAGCAACCAAATCCACGCATACTATAAAAATAAAAATAAATACCTTCTGTTAAATCCACAGCAGTTCCGCAATTTTCCGTGAAAAAAAGAAGAAAACAGACCTGATTGGAAATGAACTCGTTGAGAAAGTCTCCTTGAGGGCATTTCCAGTACAAATACGCGGGAACGATGTTTTCCATGAGACAGGAATCGTCATTTCTCAGCCCACACAATGCGATTAAAAAGGAAATGGTGACTGGAACCGTCAAGCTCACGGGAAATGCGAAAGAAAACCCTTGGATGCAAATCTTGCAGGCAAATTTTGCTGAAAAATACCAGAATATAAACACCATATGGTCAATCACAAAGCATTTCACAAAAAAAAAAAATTCTGAGGAGTTGAGAAAAAAAAGATTTTGAAAAACAAATAAAAGAAAAGTCTGCAGAAATAAGTTATGTGCCGTTATCAACAAACAAAGCTTGAGAAGATGCACAGCAGGAAAAAAATGCATTGGAATTATTCTGAAGGTTTGAAAAATTTGAATCAGGATTTTTCAATTCATTCAGTGACAAGACTCAAAGAACAGCTGTCATTAATTGCATCCACATTTTTCAATGCTGATATTAATTTAATACAGCTGCTCTTAACAAAATCAAAAATTTTAAGGAATACATGTTTTTCTTCTCTCTATAATATGTATGAAAAATTAAACATTCACATTTCCAAAAAAATGTAATCACTGAAAACATAGCAAAGTCAAAATTATAAGATCAATTTTTTTTAAGTGAGATTTCAGAAATTTTCAGGCATACAATTTTTTTCAAGTTGATCAATTGTTTACCTCACAAAACCTAAAATTGACCAGAAATCTCCATGATATAAAAAATCAAATCACCAAAAACGTAGCAAATTCAGGAACATAAGATCACTAAATTTATTCAGTGAGAAACTGAGATTTGAAAAGGCTTCAAGTTATCTGAGCTACTTATCTTTCATAAGTTGATTAATTTTATATCTTGAGAAATAGAAACATTGTTCGTCCTTCCTTTTGATAAAAAAGAAACAAATTGATTTTGTTTTCATAAAATGAAGGAATCAAATTACCAAAAAGCGTATAAAGTCCAAAAAAGTATATTTAACTTATTTTTTTAGGCTTGAGAAATCCTCAAAAGAATCCATATTTTCCCAAGCTGATCAATTCTATATGCCTCAAAGTAGATTTTAAAATTTAATGAGCACATTTGTTCCTTCCAAAAATCAAAAGAAAAAAATCAAAGAATTCTGTTCCCGTAAAATAAATGAAATAAAATCACCAAAAACGTAGCAAAGCCAGGCAGCCAAGACCTGAATCAGCAACACGTAAGCAGCTGTTCCACCCCATGAATTCACGCTCACTGGCTCCACAAATGGCTGCACATCTATGTCAGGTGTTCCATAACTGTTCAGGTTCCCATTAACCTAAAAAAATAGATACATTATAAAAAAAACCACCATTACTATTTGTATAATCTAAAATCCCCTTGGTACATGATACCATAGCACTTTTGACAAATTCATGGCATTTTAATTTTTAAAAATCATCACATTTCCAAGGGTGTCCAAACAGTGTAATTTTTGGAGTATAAATAGAGCTTCTTTTTCTCTTATGTCCAGCATTCCACAGCTACATAGGCTACAGAAATCAGCATCAAAAAGATTTGGGACTCTTAGAATTCAATGGAAAGACTCCTTCCAAAATCTTAGAGGACCAGCAATAAGGTAAACTGTTAATGCTATTTTTTTCACATCAAAGACTCTCTCCAATTTGTTTGCCAACAACTAAAACTCATCTGGGAGCAGGCTGAACACATTGCACTTTAATTTGGGTTCAGTAAATGCCTTACAACGCTATTTATATTACTGATATTTTGTTTTTGTTATCAGAGAGGGACAGAATAAAAAGTATGTATTTACATCAGTTGTGCAATTGTAAATTTTGGAATGTATTTTTTTCTTTTGTTACAGGTGGTACCTCACAATTCAACTATCCCAAAATTCAAGGGTTGAAATTGCATGGCACGTTGATTTGCAATTTGACCCTTTCACCGCAATTCAACCCGCTTTGGCCAATTTTTTGGCCTTCTTGAATTTCACAGTGTTTTGAAATTTGACTGCTTTGCAATTCAACCCAAGTTCAGCAACAGATTATGGTCAAATTGCAAGGTACCACCTGTATCCATATACAGCTTATTTCTCCATTCTCCATTCTGATATGTGATATGGAATGTGTTTGGATGAATGTGGGTGGAAAGGGGAGGGTGTTTGTATGTGGAAACATTGCTTGCATTTTGTTAATGCTGGAAAGCAGAAAATAAAGCTTGCTGATCAATCAATAAATCAATGTAACAAACATAAATTAATAATTAACATACACATCAGCAAGACATTATCCTTTGTTTTTTTGAAAATGGAAAAAAGGAACATCTTCTGATGGGAATAATCTGAGACAAACCTCGGTAACGTTCAAAGCATGAGTTGAAAAGGAGTCCTTGAAACTTTTGAACAAGAAAATCGGACTGTCGTCGGATCCCGCGTATAACAACAGCAACATGGACCCGAAAAAGAACAAGATCTTCCACAGGGAAATGAAGATGTATGTGAAATAACGCGTTTTCTTCATCCTTTCCTTCACCAGTCCCAACTTCTTGATGAACTCTGGAAAATAAATTTTCAAAAACACACAAAAATTAAAAAAAATACTGGCTTTCAAAAGATTGTAGTCATATTTACGACCACAACACCCTCTCACTTTTGCGCGGGGGATCTCTTTTTTCGGTGACGACTAGTTTTTTAAAGTTAACTTTCTTGTACTGACTAAAACCTTGTCGAACAAATTTG